GTGCAAGCATAGTTTTCCTCTCTCTGTGAAGGGGAGATTTCATGTTGCCCCTTGCCCCTAATGGTTAGGGTATAGGGTTGGGGCCGCCAGTGGGGGTCTGACTACACAACATATTTTTTTCCGGAATTTTTTGAGTTTTTTTTTTTTTTTTTTGGCACTGGGGCTGCCGGGAACCCTGCCCGGGGGTCATGCCCGGCCGGGCACCCGGGCGTGTACCCGGGCAGAAGTTGGGTGCCCGGGCGCCCGGGAAAACAGCCTAGCCCCTAATGTTATTATATAGAGCAGGACTTTAACTTACAATCTGCCTATCAAGAGGCACATCTGTAGTGCCGTGTGCGCACCAAGACAGGTACACTTGCACTCTCTTACATTACAAAGCTCACATAGATTATGTATCTATAAGGATCATAGAGAGATTTGTGTCTCTAGAACTACTATAAAGTGAGAAGCTGGTCTTGCTTCATGCCGTCTTGCCGCCTGGCGGGATCCGGTTGGGCGCAGGGGTTTTTTGAGGGAGTGGCACTGTGGTTGGGAAGTAAGCTTTTCTTTTCTACACCGTGTGGCATAGTAGTATGTTTATTCAACTTTATTAGTTTTTTGAACTTTTTTCGACATTGTGTGCATGTCTTTCTGCAATATCGCCTGTATCTGCCGCGTGGTGTTGTCGCTTTCTCGTTTGGTTTTGCTTGCTGTGGCCTGGCATGGCGCCCCCACGCTGTGCTGGAACAGAGGGAGGACAGTCATGGAATACGAGTACACACCTGACAGATGTCCACTAACAGTACACGTGCAACTACAAGTAAACAGATCATGAGCTCGAATTGAAGTCCTTGAAAATTTGCACGTCAACAACACGCGAGCACTGTGATGTAGTTTAGGATTTTCTTTTTCATAATGCAATGTCTGCATGTATTTCGGCCTTTTGATTAGTGGGTACATAGGAATATGGTCTTCCCAACTTTCTTGCTGCTTTGCGCGCCCGCCCCCCCCCCCAACACACACTGCTGCTTCCAAATGAACTCTGCTTTGCTAGTGAGACTTCTGTCACACGCCTTCCCCCTCCGCACACCTCAATCCTTTTCCCCTGGTTCCCACTGAAAGGTTCTAGCTTCTTAATTGTCCTCATCTTCCTTCTTTCTTCTTGATTGCGTGTCTCAACCGTCTCGTTCCCCCTTGCTTCTTCTTGGTGCCTGTGCAATTGCCTTCTTGCACTTGTTTCTTTCTCTCCCTCTCTTCTCTCCAAATCCCTGAAGGGCCTGAACCTCATTGGCCAGACATGATGCATGTCAGATCGGTGCGTGGAGAGTGGCTAAGTACCCCACACCAGTGACACCACCATTGGATCACGCAACTCATGGGGCACCACTACCTACTCGGCGTACTCGCCTCTTTTCCTTCTCCCTCCGCAGCTAACCCTTCTCCTTTCCCGCATGCATCCCCACAGCTATTCTTGCTATTGTTTTGGAAATTTGGAGTTAACGCGAGCACAAGGATTGGTAGCTGAGCTGTGCTCTCTCTGTGTGTGAGTGGACCGCAAAGGCCCAACAAGCTGGCGCGGATCGTGTGGTGTTGACGTGTCACAGTGTCACTGCAACATACTGGAACCCGGGCGAACCTGGCTTGCACGGTGTCACTGCGACAGACTGGGACCCGAGCAAGCCTGGCCTGCTGATTGGACCAAGCGGAGTGATGATCCGTGAGGTGTCTGTCGCATGACCACAGACTGTCAGCGCTGAGATCCTTGGGTATGGTTGTGGAAAGGTTTTCTGGTGGTGGTTGACTTTTGACGCATTCGGAACGTTCACCAACTTTCTTGCGACTGGGCCGCTGCCTAGACTGGACTGGACTGGACTGTACTGGGGATCTACCGACCTAAAATTAACCTATGGTAACTTAACATATGGTATACGGACTTGGAACCCGGGGACCAGAACTGGGACAGGACGCAGAAACTCGTGAAAAAAATCGTTTGAGCTATCCGAAACACTAAGAACCAAAGGTTAACGATTTCACGAGTTTCTGTGTCCTGTCCCAGTTCTGGTCCCTGGGTTCCAAGTCCGTGTGCTGGCCGTGGTCCCTGAATTCGGATGACAACAAATGAGGGAGGTTCATGAGGTCTGTGAGAGTCCATGGTGCTGCCCAAGCTTTTGCTGCTATTAAAGGCTAGCCTCCAGAGCCTGGCAGTGGTAAGCTCCTGCACTGGTCCAGCTAATCCACAAGGCAAAAGCGAGAACAAGTATACAGGCAAGCGCCGTGCCAACCGGGTATACCCTCCCTCCGGGTAAGGTCGTAGTTTGCCTGGATATCAGCCAAACACACATCGCACATAGGTGTCTATCTGATCCACCTGCTTGGCTGAGGTCATAACTCCTTTCCAGACCTTCGCACTCTCTTCTCACCAGTAGGCCCAAGTATACCCCATCAATCGGAGCAGACATTTCTATGCCTGTCAGCCTGAGTTTTACTAGGACACTAGCAGCGACCTATCCCTAGATCTGGAACCCACTTCTGGACAGTGTTGCACACGCCGACTGTCGGCGACCCCTGACTGGTCGGCACCTACCGGTCGGGGGTCGTCGGCACCCTTTTGGGTCCAGAGCCCCTAATACCCCCACGAACACCCCCATACCCACCCCAAATACCCCCATACACCCCCCCAACACCCACAAACCAGCCCCCAACACCCTAACCCCCCCCAATACCCCCTATACCACCCCTA